ACCCGACTGGAAGTCGGCGTGGATTACGCCGCTGTACAAGGGCGGAAGTCGGGTCTCTGCAAACAATTACAGACCGGTCAGCTTCACCTCCATTTGCTGTAAGATTATGGAGAAGATAATAAAGCAACAGCTAATGCAGTTCCTTAAACAAAACCATTTGTTTTCCGATTCTCAGCATGGATTCCGAAAAGGCAGATCCTGTGTGACAAACCTGCTCTACTGTCTGGAACACTGGACTAGGGCTGTTGATAGAGGAGATATGGTGCATGCCATCTATATCGACTTTAAAAAGACCTTCGATAGTGTGCCTCACCACCGCCTTCTATACAAACTTATCCGTGCAGGAGTGCGAGGTAAGCTTCTGATGTGGATTCGGAGCTTTTTAATCGGCCGCTCTCAAGCCGTCCGCGTCGGTGACCAACAATCTGCCGAGTTTGTCGTTAAGAGTGGTGTTCCCCAAGGCTCTGTTCTTGGCCCTACACTGTTCCTCGTATACGTCAATGACTGCGCAAACGAACTGAATTGCGATGTCGCAACGTTTGCCGATGACATAAAGATCTGGAGTATCATACGAAGCGAAGTTGACGAGGCGCGACTGCAGACAAGTCTGGACCACCTCGAGCAATGGTCGAAAGACTGGCTTCTACCGTTCAACGTAAACAAGTGTACTTTCCTACGCGTCGGCAGCACCAGTTCTCCTAACAACACGGTCTACCGTCTGAATGGCAAACCACTGCAAGAAGTCGACGCCCAGAAGAACTTGGGTGTATGGATCACAACCTCGCTTAAGCCTTCACTACAATGTTCAAAGGTGGCCAAGTCGGCGATGTCCATTCTATACCTCGTCAAACGGGCGTTCTCCTTCTTTGATGAAGACTGCTTCGCCAAGGTCTTTCAAAATTTTGTGCGACCGCATCTGGAGTTTGCTATCCAAGCATGGCGACCCTGGACCGCTAAAGACTTGGGCATACTCGAAAAAGTTCAACGGCGAGCAACGAAACTTGCATCTGGGCAGTGTTCACCACCCTACGAAACACGATTAGCTAATCTTGACCTCTTTCCTTAGAGTTACAGACAGCTACGTGGGGACCTGATACAAGCTTTCCGCATCGTGCGCAATCAGGGCTGCTGCCTCGCGTTTGGAGACTTCTTCGAGCTGGCGACTACGACTAACCTGAGAGGCCATCCACTCAAACTGTGTGTGGCTGGAGCCCGGCTAGACACCCGAAAGTTCTTCTTCTCCAACAGAGTGGTTGCAGCTTGGAATGCCTTGCCCGAGGATGTTGTTATGTCGGGCTCGGTAGATACTTTTAAATGGAGACTAGATCAGCATTGTAGCGCGCACCACAATAACGTCGGAGTACGGCCACCTTGACAGCCAACGCTGTTAATTTAGTGTTATATCGATGCTACTTCCAATGTTTAAGTAATATATGTTTATGTAATTTATTAAACTTTGGCCACGTCGCACACCGCTGTTCGCATTCACCACGATGCCTGTAGACTAAACAATTTTACTTCTTTCCGCGTATCTTAAGTGTGCCTCAACTGTCCGCTGTATTTGATCAACAAAGCAAGTTAATGTGCCTCTAAACTCTGTTAACGCATGACATTCTGTGTTCATCTGTACAGTTTTTGCTATTCCCCTCGCATTTTTTTCATGTTACTTCCTTTCCATTTCCTCCATATATATCCTCTGCACGTAACCAATAGGGATTTCAAAGGTACACACCTACTTTCCCTGAAATATACTGATACTGATACTGATACTGACCGAGTGGAGACGGTCTACATATCTTTCCAGGAGCAACCAAGGTTAATTGAGATTCCTTTTCAGCTGCCAATCAACAGGCAGTCGTTTGGCTATAGGGGAGGACTTGTTCAGTGCGGCCAAACTTTCGAAGCAGGGTTTTTACGTGCAGATCGCGAAATACGTGTTGCATTTAACATCTGACCTCGCTTGCTCCGGAAAGCCAATTAATCGGCGCACACCTATCGTTCCATGAAGGACGCCTTCCCCTGGACCTCAATGCTTACTCAATTCTGCGAAAAAAGGAGGCCATCTGATCTAAGGTTATGATTGAGACATCATTTCAAGTCACACGAATCTGCGCAAAGGACATCCTTTGACTTCATATTTAATCATGACTTTCTAGGCAGTTTGCGTATGCCCTCGGACGACCCGCTTAGCAAGCACCTATCCAGTTGGCCCTACGCACCATATGCGTGTCTGGTCTGATGCGCAGAGACAATAAATCACCAATATGGAAGGATGTCTGCAAAAACAAATGGCAACGACTGGTACCTGGACTTCTGCTTGGTATTCCCCTCATCATATCTCATCTAAACGGCCTTAGTACCGCTCGTGACGATATGCGGTGGCGAGTCAGGAAAGTGTGATCTACTGTTCCTAGCCACGGAGTCCGATTACCGACGATCGAAGTACCACCACCTTTGTGTCTTAACGGTCTACTTTGACAAGGTTTGACTCTCCAGAGTATCTGGACGGAAGGCCCTGTCGAACTAAGGGCGACAACATCGAAACAATGAAGCGAAAGCAAAGAGCATGCTCCATCCTCCCTGGCTCTCCTGAACGGCTTGAAATGCCCTGTTGTTGCTCAAGCGGCGGGTGCGGACAGCTTCATCTGTGATAAAAGTGTGAACTTTTGCTCTAAGAATGGTTATCAGGCAACGGGGGCCAAATAGTCTGAAGCCACGCCCGCACTCAGGCTCATAGCCGTGTGACAATCTGGCCGTAGTTGCCGACGACGTCCACCTTGTGCTCCAAAAAAGATGGGAGCAGGCACGGCGGTAACATGTGCACGAATTACTTCTTGGTAGTAGTAGACTTGCAAAACACCTGCCGCACTCTCTCCTACTCCCCACCTGGGTCCGGTTTCAAGACACAGTCAAGAAGACCGAAGGCGGAAGAGGACACAGGTGGCTGGCGCGTCCGGACCCGAACCTGGGTGTACCATCACACACCCTCGTCCACAACAAACACTTGACCAGGATTTTGACCAATAAAATAGGGTCAGGTAGAGGAGGATGACATTAGTAGCTCGGCAACCATGCACACGATCTGTATACACAACGGGTTTGTAAATACATTCACCGGTAGAGAACCAAATGCCAAAGAACTGCTGGCGCACACCCGGCTGCAAGGGCCCTGGTTTGCTGAAGTGTGGCATAGCACACGCACACGATCCTTGAAACCCACAAGGATGATACGCAGCCCTGCATTTTGCCTAGGCCATCGCCTTTCAAATGTCGGTTAACCAGTTAGTCGTCAATTGATAGGCACTATCTTTATATATACACACATGCGTTAAAGTGCCAGAGGTCACGTTAAGAACTAACGGTTATAGCCTGACTCTCAGCCCACCAGTCTGCCACTCTACACAAGCACACACAACTGGGCAGACTGCGTGGACTGAGTTGAGGTGTCGGTCGGCAACCTTCCTAGCCTCAGCGCTCGGTGTAGCGTGATAGTCTCAGACTCGGATCACACATGTAGTAGAAGAGCCACATGGAGAGGGAGTCGAAAAGCACACTTTCCACTTAAGGGAGAAGTGTTAATTGAGTGTTTCCGTTATGTTGCGGTGGATGGTGTTGATGTGTGTTGAAGGTGCTACTGAGGAAAGGTAAG